TATTATATAATCGATAATGAGAATAATTAATAATTAATATTAATGTGGATATTAGTATTATTATTATTATTATTATTATTATGAGGTTTTAATATTAATGTGGAATTAAGAAAATGAGGAAATATTATTAATGTTTTGGAAATTAAAAAGAAAAGGAGGATTTATATTAATTGGAGTTATTTTGGGGTATTAAGGGCAATAGTGGCATTTGGAAGAATTAGAAAGAGGAGAAACACGATTGTGAGAGGAAGAGGAAGAAGAATACGGTCTAGCAAGTGAAGAGCAAGCTTGAGAGACGATCAAGAGGAAGGAGAAGGTCTAAGCTACCAGATTTTGGAAGTTCTACTTCGATCCGAGCTGCATTTGAGATAAGGGGGGGGGGAGAATCGGTTAAATTTCGGTAATGCATGAATAATTGGTAGAATGGGGTTTCCCTAACCCCATGGGCTTTTGATGAATCGAGTTGATATGTTGTTGTGATTTTGATTGCTGCTGAGATGATTCATCCATTGCATGTGCTGTTTGATTGATTTGGGGATTTTCGGGTAGTTCGAAGTTTATGCCAAAAGTGAGTAAACGTGTAGAGCTGACATTTAATCGGGATAAATTGAGGATAGATGTTGTAGATAGGTGGTAGAATATTGGTCTGGTATGATGGGGTTTAGTTTGGAATAGAATCGGCTGAGTTCGAAGCGTTTCGCCGACTCTGAGCAGTGGTATTATTTTTCTGAAATCGCAGGTATTCGCTGGGCGAATGAGGGGGCGAGTCTTCGCCAGGCGAACTGGGCAGCGAGTGCTTCCAGTAGCCACTGTCTGGCTTCGCTGCGGGGTTTCGCTGGGCGAGCTCCAACGAGTATTCGCTGCGGGGTTTCACCAGGCGAATGTGCCAGTGAGCCCGACAGTAGTTTGTGTTTTGCTGTTGTTCTGTTTTGATTCCTTTGTGGTTTTGGACCCTTGTTGGTCATGTTTGATGATGAGCTTGTTAGTGAGCTGAGGTGAGCGTATGTGTGGTGTCGGAACGTGAATTCCGCGACATTCGTGTGAGTATGATATTTGAATTGGTGTATGTTATGGTACATGTATGTGGTGATGTGTGGAATATATGCATATAAATATAAGTATATGTGATATATGATGAAATGGATCAGTAGGATCGTATGCACCTTGTGTGCTTGATGTGTATGTGATTTATGATGAAATGGATTAGTAGGATCGTGTGCACCGTGGGTGCTTGTATTTGTTGTGTGCATTGGTGTCTTGCATAGCATGTGGACGGGTTGAATCATGTCTCGGATGGAGCGTAAGTGATTCACTCGTGCTCCAAATGGGGAGCGTAGTAGGGATAGATCGTGTCTCGGATGGAGCGTAAGCGATCTATCCTGAAATTGATTATATTGTCTCAGGAGGAGCGTAGTAGGGATAGATCGTGTCTCAGATGGAGCGTAAGCGATCTATCCTGAAATTGATTATATGGGCTCAGGAGGAGCGTGGTAGGGATAAATCATGTCTCGGATGGAGCGTAAGTGAACTATCATGAGTTTGAGTCGGTACCGCATATCATTGTGTCGAGCTGCATGTGTTGCATTGTTATGTGTGTTGTGTTGACGTGGGACAGTAGGTCCGGATTTGATGTATGTGAAATGATTGTTTATATGTTTCTGCCTTTATTCATGTAGATTATTACCGTTATATTTTTGATCGTGATTTCTCACCCCTCGTTGTTGTTGTTGTGGTCTGTGCTTCTTCGGAAGTACAGACAATCCAGGTGCGTAGCTAGCTTGGATTGTGGTGAGTCGAGTCGTAGGGATGCTCTGATACGTAACACGGGGCTTTTGGGAGTTATTTATCTGTTTGATGATTATGTTTGACTCCGTGTCGTATCATGTTTTGTTGGATCTGTTTATATGTATATGTGTATGATGACAAATTTCCGCTGTTTAATTATTGTTGATATCATTTAATGAAAATGTTTTGTTGGTTTCTTCTGTGACATCTCGTTCTGTGGTGTGAAACTCTGATAATTGTTTATTTTAACTGCATTTATGTTATTTTGGGGATCGGGGTGTTACAAGAAGCATCCTCCAACCAAATATTTTGAGTTTTAAAGGAATCGAGGTCTTCCGAAGCATCGCCAGCATAACAGAAGTATAGTTACCAGCCTGTGATCCACCTACTGCTTGCAACAATCTTGCATAATAGGATTTTATAGTAAAACATTTGATAGCATCAAAAGGCCAAATGAAACAATCCAAACCAGCCTCCTTTGGATACACATCAGCCTATAAAATCTTCATCTAATCAAGTTCAATTATAGCAACATTATTCAAAGTATCAAGGTTGAGATCAAGCGCCCACTCCCAAGCATGATCGACCCAGCTGCCCATATCCACCACTGCTGTGAGTTTCTTCTCTGAAGATTCATACAACAAAGCTCCCTTAGAGGGAAGTTCCCCAATCACTTGGCTGTCCAAAACGAAATCAGATTATCGTCACCCAACCTGCACGAAATTGAGTCAGAAAAAGAAATTCCTTTGAGGGAATCATTGAGCTTCATAAGATCTTTCCACCAAAGAGATTCAAAGTAGGGTAGTCTAGGTGCCACTTTCGAAAACAACCTGCAAGCGAAGTTTCTGTATCTCAAACGAACAATATTACTCCAAATAGCAGACCTATCATAAAGAAATCTCTAAATCCATTTAGTGATCAGTGCCTTGTTGAATATACTGACATCCTTGATTCCTAAATCTCCACAATCCTTGGGAAGACATGTCTTTTTCCAGCTTACCCAAGAGATACCAGGCTTGTCCAACAAACAAGACCAAAGGAATTTCCTTTGTATAGATTTAATAGCTTGTATCACCTTAACCGAGGCCCTTGAAAAACGTAAGGTGATGTACATGCAGATTGACAAAAACTGATTTTATAAGAGTAATTCTCCCCAAATAGATAAACATCTCTCCTTCCAAGATGACAATGTCGCTTTTAGGCACGAAATGAATGGAGTCCAACATTCAATTATTCTATGATTTCCACCAACCGTCAAACCAAGAAATCTGAAAGGAAGGCAATCCTTCTTGCAAGCCAAAAATTGAGACGTCACATTCATAAATGACTCCTCCACTCCTACACCATAAAGCCTACTTTTCCAAGCGTTAATTTGAAGACCAAAAACCATCTCAAAGCCCCTTAAAATAGCCTTCACTCCCCGCAGATTTTTCCAAGTACCGTCACAAATTAAAATTATATCGTTGGCAAACTATAAAAGATTAATAGAAATATCACCGCCCAGATTAAAACCTTGAAGAACACCAACACCTTCCGCCTTTTTCATCATAACAACAAGACCTTCAACCACCAGGGCAAATAAGAAAGGGGACAGTGGATCCCCTTGTATTAAATCCCTAGACACCTTAAAATCCTTAGATGTGCCACCGTTAACCAATACAGACATGAAATTAGAAAACACACAACCCTTGAGCCAAAAAAATCCATTGATCACCAAATCCCATTACCTCAAGAACCTTGATAAGAAACTTCCAATCCACGCAATCGTAGGCCTTTGCGAAATCAATTTTGAAAAGCAGACACCTCCTTTTATTTCTCTTAGCAAAGTCAATGACTTCATTTGCTACAACCACCCCATTCAAGAGCTACCTTCCAGGAATTAATGTGGTCTGAAAAGAGGAAACCAGTTTATCAATGATAATCTTCATTCTCACTGCCAAAAGTTTTGCTACGACTTTGTATATGCACCCAATAAGGCAAACAGGGCGAAATTCCTCCAGCATTTGAGGGTTCAAAGAATTTGGGATCAAGGTGATGAACGATGAAGTCATCAATTTAGGCAGCTTAGCTGAACCGTGAAACTCCATAATGTATCTAATGACATCATTCCCTATAACTTCCCAACACGACTCTAGAAAATCCAGGTTAAAACCATTCAGATCGGGGCTTTTATTTTTGTCACCTTCAAAGACAGCGACACGAATTTTATCAGCAGTGAAAGGCTCTTCCAGCTTTATCCTTTCCTGAAAAGAAATAGAAGACAAACCAGAAAGATCCAAAGATGGATTTCGAGAATTGTTGTAGTTAAACCTGTCACTAAAATGGTTTACGACCTCCTGCTTGATGGAGTTTACATCCATAACCAAATAAGAACCTATCCTCAAAGTCGAGACATCATTATTTTTACACCTTGACTTTAACAGTGAGTGAAAGTACTTTGTGTTGCAATCACCTTCTTTCACCCACTTAGCTCTAGACTTTTGTTTGATTAAACTTTCCTTCAACAATAAATTGTTCCAAACTTTATGTTGGACCATCCCTCTACTAATGACATCTTCTTCCTTACTAAATTCATCCATACTCAACAAATACTCCTCCAACAAATTAAGCCTCTCCACCCCCACCTCGACTCTCAAATCAATCCACCTGAAGACGTTTTTATTCCACCACCGCAGACATAACCTAAGAGCTTTAAATTTTTTAAACAGAATATGAGAGTCACTTCCCGCAATATTAAAAGAATTCCACTCCTTAGTCACGAATCCCATAAATTCCGGATGATTAAACCAGGATCTAAAAGCCTTGAAAGGTTTAGTTCTCCAGTTCAGCAAGTTAGCTTTAATCCAAACGGGTCGATGATCCAAAATATTTCTATCCCCCACTACTTGTGCCAAAATGTTCCATTTGGAAATAAGATCTTCAGATAGAAGGAAACAATCTAATATGCTACAACAACTTCCATTAAAATTATACCATGTAAATCTATTTCCCATCGCAGGCAAATCCACAACTTCCATTATATCCATAAACGAGTTAAACTCCTCCATTTCAATACCGAGCTTCTACCACTCCCCCTCCTTTATTCAAAAGACTTTATTGTGTTGAAGTCCCCCCCCCCCCCCCCCCCCAATCAACCACACACCAGTTGGAAATTTGGATTTAACACCAATAAGTTTAGCCCACATTTTGCACTTCTTAGCCAAATAACAAGGAGACTAAACATTCACAATATAACAACTCATACCTCTACAAGAAACAAACATTCCCAAATAACCTACTCCTCTGAAACTGAAAATAGGTACAAAATAATTTTTTCTCCACATTGTGAGTATACCACCTGATTGGCCAATAGCGTTATAAGCAGACCCATCACTTCCCAATAAACTATGAACAAGTTTATCATCCATACTCTTACACTTGGATTCCTGAATAAGACATAAATCTGTTGCACCTTTCAACATAATATGATTGAATCTCCTACGTTTAACAGAGTTGCCACTCCCACATATGTTGAATGTAATCACATTCATGGTACCCTCTTTGCAACGTCCATCAATTCCTCAAAATTCTTTATGTCTCTTGCTTCCATATTTCTGATCACACCTTCAAAATATTCATCATCTTCATCACCCTCAACTCTCATCTTTTTAATTGTTTTCCACACTTTGCAAGGAACATCAGCCAATAACTTCCTAATTCTTGAGTTACCATGATTCACATTAGAGTTGTTGATAAATTCAAAGCACAAGACAAAATCCTTCGGACTATCTCAAATTCAAAATTCACAAATAATTCAGTTTAACTAAAATAGTAAAACTAAAGAAAATCTAGGTTGGATTTCTAAATGTTTAACTTAATTGTTAATATTATTTATATTTACATTTTTGTCATTTGAATCTCCAACTTCTATTAACTTTTAATTCAACTCGTTTAAATCAGTTAAACTATCTTTTATCTCAAAAGAATATTTATAACTCAAGATAGTACCATTGAAGTAATTAATACGAGAAAAAAAACTTAAACTTAATATATATATATATATATATATATATATATATATATATATATATATATATATATATATATATATATATATATATATATATATATATATATATATATATATATATATATATATATATATATATATATATATATATATATATATATATATATATATATATATATATATATATATATATCACTATTAGAAATATAGGAATTACCTACGTATTTTTTCGTGGAAATTTATCCGCAGATGTACCTGCAGTTTTACTAGCGAATTTATATTGTGAAGCATTATTCCCTGCAAAATTGAAGTAGCAGCAAAGTTCGCAGAAATTCCTAGGACTTTACTTGCGATTTTGGATTTATAATAATATATGTGACATTTTCCTGCGAACAAAGGTTTTAACTGAGAACAGAAAAGAACAGGAAGAATCGCAGGTAACACGTTTCCTGCAAAAAATTTGTCAAAATCCGCAGGTAAATCCAGAAAAACAGAGTTTTTCTAGTAGTGTATATATATATTAGAGATTGAATTTTATCATCCCACAAATAATGGTGTTATAAATATTTTTATAATATTTTAAATAGTATAAAAAATAGTTTTTTGAATAAGTATAATTCAAGGGGTAATATTTTATTTTAAAATTATTCAACACAATATAAGATTCAATTTTGTATAAGAAAAGTTTAATGAATATTTAATAATAATAAAATTTAGAATTATATATTGATCTTTTTAAAAAAAATTATGATTATGAATGCTAGTTTTTAAACAATACTTATGTCATTTTAAAATGACTTTTTTAACTTAAAATATTACTAAGTATTTATATTGTGTTTATTATTATCTCAAATATCTTTATACTTTTAAGTCAAATTATTTTATATATATATATATATATATATATATATATATATATATATATATATATATATATATATATATATATATATATATATATATATATATATATATATATATATATATATATATATATATATATATATATATATATATATATATATATATATATATATATATATATATATATATATATATATATATATATATATATATATATATATATATATATATATATATATATATATATATATATATATATATATATATATAACTCAAGTTAAACTCATTTATTTTACAAATTTAATTTTGGACTTAAATTGTAAAAGAAGATCAAATAAAGAGAAGTCAACCAATTAGAGGTAGATAAAACATAGAAAAACTATAAGCAGTTATTAAGAAAGATTTTAAAATTAACGATTTGAATATAAATATGGTTCAAGATAGAATATTATAATGAAAGTTGATCTATGTAGCCAATCACACTTAATGAATAAGGTATGGTTGTTGTTGAAGTTTTGAGCTTAAACTGGAAGAGAATATCAAGTGGAGAGAAGTCAAATAATTAATGGTAGAGAAAAACCTAGAAAAACTATAAGAAGTTAATATGAAAGATCTTGAAATTAACGATTTAGATAGAAACATGGTTTTGGATAGAACATTACGAGGAAAGTTGAACTATGTAGTTAATCTCACTTAATGCGATAAGGCTTGGTTGTTGTTGTTACTTGAGCTTAAATTCGACTTATTTAGGTTTATGAATCAAATTCAATAATTAAACATCGAAATGAATTTTGAACAATTTTCAAGTCGAATTGACTCATTACCAGTCATATTTAAAATGGATTTTTCACCATAAAACAAGTAGATAATAATGTTCAAACACTGTCCATTTTTCAAGTGGTTAACCGAATTGTATCTACTTTAATCAATACGAATATATAGTAATCTTTTTTTAAAAAATTTAAAAATTATTATTTTTGTTTGATAAATTAATATAATATTTTTTTTGGGATGAATACAAGACTCAATACAAAAGGCCAAACCGAACATAAAAAAGCGCGAAGAATAAGTATACCTCTTTTTTACCTGAAGAAAATTATTCCGCTTATTGGAGCTCTACTGACTGTTTAGATCAATCTGATGTTTGACCGCAAGTCACGCCTCACTTTACGATTTTCGTTGATAACCACTCCCACTATTTAATAGGAAAGACACATCATTTCTTAGACATTCAAATATATTCTCACTCTAATAACACTTTTCATTCTCTTACTGGCTTGGACATCGAAGTGCTAGCCTTGCCAGTCATCCCCCTCTCCATCGTATCGAAAGCTAAAGTCCACTATAACAATCATTATTTCATCGTTCACGAAACAATTATGCTTCCCCTACATAAGAGTGGTACCGTCTTTGAGAATCAAAATTTATTTCATACATTTCTATATTTAGATCTCCTATGGTCCAATTCTCATTTCTTAGAAGTTCATATGTAACTTTTTTTATCTTCTTCATTGAACCTCAACTTCTTAACAAATATTTCTCCAAATTTATCAACCATGGTGGCATCTAAAGTTACTCAAGTTGTTGCTCAATGGATTGTCGTCACTGCCAAAGCTGCAAAAGATCATCTTCCTCTTTCTCAAGCAAAAGACAATTCAGTCTTGGTAGCATCTCCATCTGACCCATCACAACAGGATCATGTTCCACCAAGGTTAGTCATAGAATATTCCAAACTCTTATGTTATTAAAATCCAAACAAAAATTTCATCAAGGTGAACCTTTGCATCGACCTCCACCACTACCAATAATACCTGAATAAGAAACACTCCCTGGTCTTTAGCTGTTACAAGATAACCTTGGAATACGAGGAGTTATTGATTTTTTGAATGTTATATACAATATGTTGCAACAATTAAATTTTAAATTCATGATCAAAATGCTATTTAGGATATAATAAAGCTTACAACACGTCAATCTAAAGAATATCATTGTGTGAGAGGATACCTCCCAAAGAAATCAAATAACCATTTTTAAGCCAACTCCCATCTGAGCAACAACATCGCAGAGAGAATCTCGAGAATGCCAATTCACCACCATCACCACAGACATAAGACTTCTTCCCTAATCCTGAAGGGAAAGACGGTAGCCACACCCCCTTGGAGGTTTGCCGTCCTAAAAAAATGAGAGGTATGACGAAGGCTATGATCCTAAAGCTAAAATAAGATCATATGTACACTTGCATTCTTGATAGCGGAAATTTAAGGTCATTAGAAAAACCTCCAAAACTTCAAATATTTGATGGAACCGGGGACCTAGACAAACATGTCGAGCACATAGAGAAGTGGTTGGATTATTACCACACCCAATGGGATGTAAAGTGCAAGCTCTTAGCATTAACTTTGACTGGATCTGCCATGATATGGTTCAAGACCCCTCGAATGGGAGCATAGATTCTTGGGAAGATCTTTACAAAGCATTCATCTCCTGAAAGAGGCAACCCACAAAGATGGTCATTCTTAGTGGGATTGCCCAGGGGAAGAAAGAGACCCTATGCAGGTACATCGACTACTCTTTGAACACATGAGTCCATACACAAGAGGGGGGAATTTACGGAGGATTGAAAATGTTGATTTAGAAAAATCACGTTTGAAACTAGAGTTTGAATTTTTTTAATAAAAAATGTTTGAATAAATATGTAGCAAAATTTCAAAGTAAAGAAATTAAGTGGAAAATAAAAGAGATAAGGTAAGAGAGAACGAAACTAGAAAATTATAGAGGTTTGGTCTAATGAAGTAGCCTACTCCTCTCCCTAAAAATTGATCTTTAGAGTATCCAGTATTGCTTTAGAGCTTTTAAAAGATTGAGCCCACGAACCCTCTTATACAAAGAAATGAAGTTTTAGGCTAACTTCCAACAAAACAAAAAAATGAGGCTTGAAGCTATTAGTATCCAAACCAAACAACAAACTGAGCTTCAAGTAGTTAGTCATTAAGCCAAATAGAGATTTTTCACAGACTGATCTCGAACCAAGACATATTTTTGAGTTGAATATCCTCTGAACCAACTCGAGGTTTTATACGGTCTTACCACAAACCAAATCGATTTTTTTTTACCGGACTGACCTAGAACCTACTGAACTTTTAACTGGGATGTACTTAAAAAACAAGTGAGATTTTACACCATGATGACCTCGAACCAATAGAGATTTTAACTAGACTGAGCTCAAGAATCGTTGTGAATGTTTTTCTATAATTAATCTTCATGAACCCAAAAAAGAGTTTTTCTTCAATGGAGGATCTCACGAACCAAACATAGACTTTGACAAATCCCCCAAATACAAATAAAGAGCTTTTTCAATGGTTTAGCTGCAAACCAAAATAATCATTTCCTAAGGAAAAATATTTTACTCAAGAGAAAAATATACTTTTGTTAAATTTATAATAAAGCTCTCACCCAGAATAATATTACTCTCTAAACTCAAGAACGCTCTCAAAGCACTATGGCTGAAACATATGAGAAAAGTATAAATGATTTAGAGAGATTATGAGAGAAATGAAAAGTGAGGTTTTCACATTTTCTGGATGTTTTGAAATTATAGAGAACCTCTCTATATGTAGACCAATAAAAGGTATAAATTTTGAAATAATCCATGGGTCA